CGGCCCGGCCCTCTCGACCCCACGCCGCCAACGCGCATCTGCGCCTGCGCCTGCGCCGGTACCACCCTGCGTGCGCACGTCGACGTCCTTTAGGGCGCCATGGAGGAGGGGCCTAGCGACCCGCGTGGGGGCGGGGCAGGAGGCGGGGCCATACGGGGCGAGGGTAGGGCCTAGGGGCGGGGCAGGGTGAGGCCTAGGGGCGAGGCGGGGCCGGGCCTAGGGTTGAGGCCTGGGGCTGGGGCGGGGCTGAGGTTGGAGTAGGGGTCGGGGGGCGGGGAGGCGGAGAAGGGGCTCAGGGACAGGTCGGAGCAAGGGTAGGAGGTGAGGCATGGGGCGGGGCGACGCGGGGCCTCAGGAGGGGGTGGGGCTTAGGGTAGGGACCTAGTGTGAGGTCTAAGAGTTTGGGGCGGACTGGGGCGGGATCTGGGCCGTGGGCGTGGCTTGTCCGGGGCGGGGCGGCATTGGGCGGGGCGGGATGTGGGCGGGGCGCGGCGCGGCGCGAGAAAGGCCTCTCTCGTCCGATTCCCGCAGGTTTGGAGTCCCTGGCGCGTGGCCGGGTCCCGGCGGCACCCCTCAGAGCTTCCAGCGGGTGGCCGAGCGCGGTGAGTCGTGTCGGACCCTGCTCTCCAGTCCTGCGCTGCGGCCTCGCCCGGGGAAGGCCCGACCGAGCGGAGGTGGAGCACCGCGCCAGGAGCAGCCCAGGAGCGAGGCCCGGAGAGCTCTACGGGCGCGCGGGAGGACTACCGGGTCCCCAGCACCTGCGACAGCTGGCGCTGTGCCTGCCCTGCCCAGACGTCTGGTGCCGCGTTCTTTGCGTCCACATTGATTGGAAATCACCCCTGCGTCTGTCTGCAAGACCTGGTTAAACTAGCGAAACCGCCCCGAGTGATACGTGCTGCAGTTTTGGTTTTAAAGGGGAGTAACTTCTGCAGACGCGCTAGGGTAACAGTGCCCGAAACAGCTAGGGGAAAGGAAAGAATATGTAACAGGCACTGGGGGCCCAGAGGGGGAGCCAGGCGAGACCTCAGTCTCTGAGC